CCTGCCTCTGCCTCCCGAGTGCTGGGATTAAAGGCGTGGGCTACCAACACCCGGCAATCATGGACGATTTTGCTGACGGATTCCTGCATATTTATAAAGCTAATCTTTTGGTAAATTGGTCTGTTTATCACTAATGCCCTTCAACATCTTTTTAAATTTCTTTTTGTGGAGCTGGGGACCAACTCCAGGGCCTTGCACATGCTTTACCTGCAGGTCCCACCCTTGGCTCTCGTTTTATCAATTTGACTGAAAGTCTGCTATCTAAGAGTCACCAGTGTGGAATTTTTACCATGTTCCTTCCCCCACACACCAAGGGGATTTTGTTTTGTTTTGTTTTGTTTTGTTTTTTCATTTGTTTTAACTCTATGGCTTCGCTGCTGCTCCTTTCTCTACGAGGCATAATCTTCCCAAGTCTCCACTTCAAATCCTGACCATCATTCAGAGCACCACTCTGGGGTGATTTTATTCTTTTCATCCACGAAGCCTTGTTCTGTTCACTTAAGAACAGTCTCTGTCTTTTGCAAAATCAATTGGACTTGCTATGAGAATCATTACCATCATGGTAATGTGCCACTTTGATCTCCTGCGGATGAACACATGGATGAGTGACAGTCTAAGTGCTGTCTCTCTAGATTTACCACACATTCCTGACAATGATGGCTAAGCAAGATGTAAAGTTCTAGTGCCAGACTCTTCTGGGAAGACTTGGGACTTACCTGGGGTCAGTTTGGCTGGCGGGGGGGCGGCAGCATAGAACTGCAGAGTATGTGAGAGGCCTCCTTCGAATCTCTTGAATATGTAATTCTGCCCAAACAACTGCTGTTTAGAAAATCTTAATGGATGCATTGCTTTTGTTCCGTTTTCCACTTGTTGCCTTATTGTGATGGTATAAATGGCTCATTCCAATTTATAATTTCTCAGGCATGGATTATTATTTATTTCTCGGCACAGAGTCTGGACCTTAGTCAACTTAATGATCTCTGAATTCCTAGTACAGTTCCTTGAACATACTCAGTATCCAAAGTAATTTGTTATTGAATAATAATTATAAACAACATGCTTATATATTTAATGTCAAGCCTAAGAAACACCTTTGTATCTTCATATTAGTTGTAAAAGAATCTGGCTTATAGGCTAAGCCAACAGAAGAGACTGACTTCACAGAGAGCTGTGACTCACTGGGCTGTTTGTATGTCTTTATCCTGGATAACACTCCCTGGTTGCACTTAGAGCATTCAGTATTCTCACAGGCTCATCTAAACAATGCCTTACTGTCCAGTGGGAACCATCCTGAGTGACTTACATAGATCATCCATTGTGAACTGCTCAATACCCCTGCTGGTAGACAGAATTACTTTTCCATTTTACAGAAATAGAAATGTTCAACATCATACATTTTAAAAGGTAGTTTTGCCATAATCTGACACATGCTCTAAATAATTAGGCTCTTCTAAAGCCACCCTGTCAGGTATTTGTCAATGAATGATGCAGGTCATCCAGGAACAAGACTTTGATGTCTGTGCTAATGAGTGGATCCTTTGTACTATAGCCCCCATCCCACCCCAGCCCAAAATGGGTATTTAAGGGCAACTGATGGGAGAATTCTGTTACTGTATCCATGTTGTTCCATCTGTCTTTTTATAACAAATGGAAAAGTTCTATACTTTTCGTGCCTTGGACACCAGTACCAGTCCCATGAGGCTTTGAGCTTTCAAAATATGGCTAATGCAACTAGTGAAATGAAGACTTAATTTCATTTCATTTTAGTTAAAGTGTAATTTAAGCAGTTGTGTGGAGTTAGTGGCTTCTATATTGGTCAACATGATTCCAATCTCTTCTCTGGTCTGACCATTTCTTCTGAACCTTAATTCATTTCTCCGGCATGCAGTTGAGGAATTGTTGCTGCTGCTGCTGCCGTTGTTTATTTTGTTTTTGTTTTAAAGTTGAAGCTTTGGTCCAATCAAGTCATGTTACACAAACTTTGTGTGTCTAATCCAGTCATCAACTCAACAACATTGTCATTTGGAGGGACAAAGTTATAGATTGCAATCCTTACATAAGACACTGTTTTCTGTGGCCAGAGGGTGGCTAGAGAGCTCTCCTATGGTCTAACTTCTTACAGTTGGCATCATCCTCCCTAGTTTGATGCTTTGAAAGGAGAAAGAGGCAAGAGAACCACTGAGGCACAAAATTCTCATTTCAAAGGCTAATGGCTACTTGAGGTTTTGAAGATTCAAATAGACTTCACAAAACTCTTCACATCAGACCAGCAAACAAAACAATTTTTCACAAAGAAAGTGAAGAACATTTTCCCCCATTTGGAGAAAAAGAAAAAAAGTCTTTTCATCTTTACCTGTTCAGGAACTTTTTTGTTTGCCCTTCCCTGCGTTATCAGCTCTGTTTCTGCATCACTGTGTTTAACTTTCTCAATAGAACCATATTCCTGCATCCCATCTGCCGACAAGGAAGAGCCCTGAGGGACCTGCCATGAGGGAGGGTCTTGTGCACCATCTCTGAGCGGGGCTTCAGGGATACTGCACAGATGAGTAATAAAGCACAAAGTGAATACCAGGCCAGAGAAGAAGAACATGACCTGGTACTCGGAGCCCAGCAGCCTTCCCAGTTCCAGATGCACCCAGTCTATGGCACCCAAAAGGTAGCCAAGGGTACCGCCAAAACCTAGAAAACAAAGAAAAAAAAAGGAGATGAGTTGGCCACCATGAACAGGCCCTCCACTTCTGTGGAAAAGCTCCCTGAGGAGAGCAGAGATAGCCTAGTAATTAAGAAGAGACAATACAGCAAAAGGCTAAGACTCCTGTAGTGAGGCACCATGGGTTCAAGTCCTAGCTCTGGTGTTTACTTGCCATGACCTTGGTCTTACTCACCTATTATGCAGTCATATCCAAAGAGTAACCTATCAGTAAGGCCATGATTTGAAAATGAAAAATGTTCAGTACAACACAAAGACACACATCAGGACCTTAATAAATTACCACCATAGGAGATACTGTGGCCCCCCCAACTGCCAACTGCATTCTCTATACTGCTTTAAAAAGCAACTCAAATTCTTGACCTAAATGAGTCCATAAAATCAATTTCTGGCAGCATTAAAAAGAAATGATTTTTATTGTCCTCTATCTACCGCCAAACTTCTTCAGAAGATACAAAACTAGCTTGGGATGATCAAAGAGTCCTGAGAGCTGTCTTTTCCACTGTGAATAAAATCCGAAGTATGTGTTTGCAGTTATAGCTACAGAAATAAGAACAAAGGTTTAGACATGAATTTTTCTAAGTCTATTATCATCTTATCAGACACTAAAATGAGGGTTCTCTGGTTCTTGCTTTGTATGCTTATGCTTGGACACGGTGTCACTTGAGGGGTATTGAGACAGGACTCATCAAAATTGATTCCACCCTACCAAGATGACCATTAAAGGACCCACACCTCAAAATTTAAAGAGACAGAGAAGGGAGGATAGTGGCATTGTGGAAGTCATAACTCCAGGAAGGGAGTCCATACTTGCTGCCTGGGGAAGAAATATCAATAGAGCTGGTCTGCCTATGGCTGCCAATCGCCAACCTCTTCCCTCCAAAGTGAAGGTCTTTCTGCCACCAGCCTCTGGAGTCAGGTGGTGTGTTGTTAGGAGAATAATGAGGAATTTTACGAGGGACAAACACTTCAAAAAGAAATACAAAATTCTACCTTCAAATTTGCCACCTTGACCAATGTTTTGGAACTGAACATCCATCCCTACATTGGACTTGCTCAATGTTATCTTGTTCATGGGGTCCAGAAAATAATTTTGATGCAAAGATGCCTCCCTTCTCCCCTCCCCCCATTTTATTTATTTATTTATTTTGTTTTTCGAGACAGAGTTTTGGAGGCTGTCCTGGAACTAGCTCTTGTAGACCAGGCCTGCCTCTGCCTCCCGAATGCTGGGGTTAAAGGCATGCGCCACCACTGCCTGGCACAAAGATGTCTTATAACAAAAATCTCTGTGTTAAAGCAACTCAGTCTCCTAATTTGCAGAAAGCGTTTAACTGAACTTAGAGAACCTGAAAGAAGTTCCTTACAGTGATGGTTCAGGAACCCAAGGAGTGTTTTTCTGTTTGTTTGTTTGTTTGTTTGTTTTTGTTTTTTCTTATTTAAAGCATAAATTAAAGCTAGTCTGTGAACTACAAAAAAAAAAATTGATCCCACCCAAGTTCTTACATCTGAAATACTGTTATTAGTGATCCATTCTCTTCAGTTACTGCTCTAAATACAGACATTCCTTCTATGCCTAAGACATTATATAACTCAGCACCAAAACCCTAATATAGCTCAGATGTTCCTTCCAGTGAAGATGTTGGGGACTTCTTAAAACACAAGGCTTAAAGGGAGACGGATGAAGAGATTTGAAATTTCGAAGCAAATGACCAATGCCAAACACACCCTCTATATACATCACAAGTTTGGATGAAACTGATTCTTCTGTTTCAACATCAGCCTCCCATCATGCCTTAGCAAACACAAGTTATTTTCCTGAGTGGATCAGTTTGTAGTTTTATTTGTTGAGTGAGGTCTCTGCCCCAAATGAAGACAGTATCTTTACCAACCAGGGGATCTGGAAGAAAAGATAACTCAAAGAGTTCCCATCTCTGGTGATGAGAGATGTCTCCATTGACCAAGTGCTTGCCCCACAAGCATGAGAATCAGAGTTCAGATATCAAGCACCCACATGAAATATTTGGCACTGCAGTGTGAGCCTGCAATTAGCCCATGTGGGAAGGAGAACGCATGGCCTTGAAATGTTAGCTGATCAGCCTCCCATCATGCCTTAGCAAACACAAGTTATTTTCCTGAGTGGATCAGTTTGTAGTTTTATTTGTTGAGTGAGGTCTCTGCCCCAAATGAAGACAGTATCTTTACCAACCAGGGGATCTGGAAGAAAAGATAACTCAAAGAGTTCCCATCTCTGGTGATGAGAGATGTCTCCATTGACCAAGTGCTTGCCCCACAAGCATGAGAATCAGAGTTCAGATATCAAGCACCCACATGAAATATTTGGCACTGCAGTGTGAGCCTGCAATTAGCCCATGTGGGAAGGAGAACGCATGGCACTTGTATCTGTTAAGGGGCCCTGATGGGGGATATGTCCTTCTGTGTATATGTTTCTCTTATTGGTTGATGAATAAAACACTGGCCAACAGAGGTATGAAGTTAAATGGGAGGATTCTGGGAAAAGTAGGCAGGGAGAGATGCCATGCAGAGACTGGGAAGATAGGACGTGCCAGGAGTTCTCTGGTAAGATAAGGCCATGTAGAAATACATAGATTAGTAGTTATGGGTTAATAATTAAGACAGAGCTAGCCAATAAGAAGCCCTAGCCATTGGCCGACAGTTTTATAATTAACATAGCATCCAAATAAATGCTGATAGTAAGCAAAGAGCATACTATCTGAGGCCACAAGTTCTGGCCAGGCTGGAAGTTTCTAATTTGTGATAACATGCCTAATCCAATAATAGTTCATGCAAAAGCATCGACTGTAATTATCTCATCATTTTTCTAGAAATGAGTTTCTCAATTTCAGCACAGAAAATGACTCATTAACCTAGTTCAGAAACTCCCCATTTTCTGACAGGACTGATAAAGCCTGACTCCTGTTTCTTTTCTTGGCTCGGGATTAGAAACCAGTGTATTTTCTGTTTGTTAACAGAGCTGGTTCTTGAGCCATTTGCAAATACCTACAGTTAATTTTTCAAGGCCACAGAACCAATATTTATAACTCCTATGCTCTAGTGCCGCCTAGTGGTGACCAGCAAGAATGGAATACAGATACTGGAGATAATGTGCTGAGCTACACTGAAAATCTCAGCCCAGTTCTAGCAACTGCTGTGGTGAATATTGCAAAGCCAACTAGTTTCAGAAATGCATCTGTACCTAACTTCACCTCATGGAACCACCTATCTCCTAGAACCACCTTGCTTTAGTGGAAGTGAATCTTCTACCCTTCATCCCTTCAAATGAAGAAGAGTTCTGAGATGCACAAGGCTCCTGGATGACCATGGAGAGATGGAAGGTAAAAGCCAACTCCATAATGCCTGGTCAGCACATTTGATAATATTTCCATCCTTCTCCATGGAATTAATTCCCAAGTAAACTGTGTGTCCATATTCCCGGAGCTCAACTTTTACAGGCACCCAAATTAAGACAGACACCACATCTTTCTTAGGTGTTGGCTTGTTGAATTTTACCCCTCCTCTACAGCCAGTCAGGTGGCCTTGGATTAGTCACTTTACCTCCCAGCAACTCACCTTAAACATTGTGAAAATTCAGGATGCTAAAACAGAATATTAGCCACACCAACAGTTTCTGAGGCCCTTCCATATTTTATGCACCATTGAAAGCACTGGTCATAGAGCAATAAAAAGGAAAAACAGTTCCTGCCAGTTGGGGGTAAAGAAGCAGACAAAGAAACCACAAATGAATAATAAAAGATCATGTGTGAACATGGGATCTGCGATCAGAACAAGGAGGCTAAAGATGCTGTTGGAATCCAGGGACATTGTGCTAAGTGACAAAGCTCTTCCAGAGATATCGTGTTAAATGACAAAGGCAAGCATGGAAAAGTATATATAGTGAGTGGAAACAAAAGGAAAATGAGCACGTAGAAGTAGAGCATAGAATAGTAGTCAGTACCTTGGAACAACGATAGGTGATAGTGGCCCTGATCACTGTACACTGTATACAGGCAATGACAACATCATCACACTGAACCCTGTAAATATAGGTGCTATATGCTGAGCTTGAAACTAAAACAATTAGAGTGAAGTGGGGGAATGTATTTGGTTTCTGCTCCGGCAGTGTCCTTCCCAGAGTGCCCGAGGGAGGAGATGTGAAAGCCCCCCACAGGCACCAACTTCAAAAGGAACCCAGCTGATGAAACAAAACCACTCATCCAACAATTATTCATGAATAAGAAAAAGTTAAAATAGCCCCAAACATGAGAGGCGGTTCTTCTATACTGAATAAAAAGTTTGGTTGAAGGGGTTCTATCTGACATTCATTTTTAACTCTCTTCTTGGTCTTTATTTGCCAATCACAGCGGTTTTTTTGTTTTTGTTTGTTTGTTTGTTTGTTTTTTACATGTTAGTAGTTGGTGCACACTTTGAAGTACTTTTTTGAAGTTAGAAGAAGCCAAGCCTGCCGAGTTTCCTCCCCTTCTTCTTCTGAAGGAATACACTGGGCCTGCTTATCCCTGAAGCATTCACTTCCAAATATAACTTTTGCAAATGGAAGCATAGAGAAATCAAGTGGTCACACACGTCTGGCATTTGACCCTTTGCTTGTCTCTTTATTCTGTGCATGGGCCCTTTTGCCAGTTTGTTTGCAACTGACATCATAGACTCACAGGTTGGGGGGTAGGGGCAAAGTTCAGACATTCGGAGCCTGCACTGCCGCTAAGGGAAGGAAGGGTTTCCCAGCCTCACAGATTCAAGTTGGCCACCAACAGATAGATCTCACTGCCCAGGACAGTGCAGTCTGCAGTTCACTTTAGCACAAATATCCTGGGTTAGAAACTCTCAACATCCAGGAGACACTTCCTACCAATAAACATGGGTTTGCTGGCTCACTGGGTTCTGCGGCCTCAGTTGATATCCAAAGTGACTGGTGTGTATGCTCAGAGGCTAAGAGCATTAGCATGTCCAACCCCATCAGAGCTCCTACTCTGCCGGGAGATATGACAGTTACTTTTTAGTGAAAGAGACAAAAGGCCAAATGTAATAACTCCCTAGGGGACAGTAGAAAAATTCTTTTCACACACACACACACACACACACACACACACACACACACTGTAGGTGCTGGTTTACATACACAGAACAAAGCATGCTGCATTTTTATGAGTGGTCCTATAGTGATCATTATGAATAATGTGAGAACACCATCATCAAGTAGTCAGAGTCCTTAGAAACGAAGATCTAAATTGGGTAGGACCCCAGAGAACGGCCCTAGAAGAGGAGGGGATTGATCTTGCTCTTCTGTTGGGGAATGTTGGACTTGCTAGAAGCTATCCACACATGGTGATCTCCCACAGGACCAAGCACTGGCCCTAGAGACACTGACTGACATCTCAGAGGACCAAACACAGGCCCTGGGAACACTGACTAACATCAAGAACTTGGTGCTTACCATGAGACAAAACCAAGAAATCAAGTGTCTCTTTATGTCCAAATTTCTTAAATATTGCTTTCTTCTATTTAGTAAAAACTGCCCCCTCTTCCTTGGTAATGGATCCCAATTTGCTCCAGGAAGTATGTGCCCTGTCCCTAAAAATTAAAAGCTGAACAAATCCTTGCTTTTCAACCCTAAGAGCCTATTAGATGATCTAATTATGCTCACTAAGAACAAATAAATGTCTGAGGGAAGTAGAAAGCTCTTGCTTTCCTCATTCAGAAAGATGATATAGAAAGGTTCTTCCCCCTTCTTTCTTCCCTGACTCTCCTCTCCATCCCTTCTGTCTTGAAAGAAACATGATGAAACTATAGCAACCATCATGTATCCAAGAGGCAACACACTGACAAAGAAACCAAATAAAAGTGAAGTTGATGTTGATGTGGACTGCTAACCAAAAGCCACCACGTATTCACTACCAGATGTGTTATTTGAGAAAGGTAAACCAATATAGCCACTGTTGTGTGAGCATTGTTATGATCAATCCCTTCCCTAAGCTATGCATGCCTTGAACACCTGCCCCGGGGAGAACAGGAGGACCGGGAAGGGTCAAGGTGTTAACAAAGTAAAGTGACTCCAGTAGGATTGCAAGTAGCTCACTCAGATATAAAGAATGCTGGCCAATCACTTTCTGTCACATCATCCTCACCTTCTCACTCATTTACACACACACATTTTCTGTGGATAGCTCCTTCTTAGGTGAAATGTATAGAAATGGGGTGGTTACAAATGTTCTAAAGTAGGAGGTAGCAATAGCAAAGGCCAAGAAAGAGACTATGTGAAAACTGCCCCTTGAGTACTGACTGATCTTTTAAACTGAGAATTTTAGTTGGTTTCCTCAGAAGTGGAACAAACTGTCCCTTGTCACCAACTGCTCTTCCCACCACAACCAGCGGCTACAGTTAATTGTAAGTGACTTTAAAAGAGGCATTACACAGAAGGACCTGAGAACCACTGAAATGAGACCACAAACATAAAAAGTAGAGCACTAAAGAAATACTCCTTGCCGGGCATTGGTGGCGCACGCCTTTAATCCCATCACTCAGGAGGCAGAGGCAGGCGGATCTCTGTGAGTTCGAGGCCAGCCTGGTCTCTAGAGCGAGTGCCAGGATAGGCTCCAAAGCTACACAGAGAAACCCTGTCTCGAAAAACCAAAAAAAAAAAAAAAAATACTCCTTTTATAAAGAACTTTTGTGCTCTTGTGTTTATTCAAAAAAGAAAAAAAAAACATCCTGGAATATCTCCAGTATGCTGAAAAGAAAAATGAAGGGGACTGGAGGTGAGAAAAGAAGAGAAAAGTGGGTATGCTCAATCAATATGCCATCTTTCCTAGAAGGGGAGCTGGGCATTTTATAGGGTCAGTGGCATTTTATAGACTACAAAGAGCCAGGGGAAGAGTGAATGAACAGAATTTGATGTGTGTGCTGGAAACATGTTGAGAATCCTCCAGAGCACAGAGAATATAGAGCGATTAATGGGAAACAAAGCTCGAGGTGCAGAGTGAAAATAGCTTGTGGGTGTTGGGGGGAGGGTGGAGAGATGACTTAGTAGCTAAGAGTGCTTGTTGCTCTTAACAACACGGGTAAAAATTCAATGGGACCAGAGTCCAGGAGAGAGAATGAGGTTGCTGAGCAAAGGTGAGGCAGGAGTTTTCTCAAACCCTGGCTCTGTTCTACAGCATTTAAACCTCCAGAGATATGGAGGTCCCAGGCCACAGACAGACAGGACTGCCCCTCTAACCTTGCACCTTCCCCAAAGTGGTAGGAACAGCTTGCTGTACTGGGGCAGCCTCATCCCTTCATAGTTTCACTACTCAAATATTTGCCAAAATGTCAAAACCAGACTCCATAGCTTCCATGTGTAGGGATGAATCTTGGCTCTGGAGGTAGGCCCTACATGGCCAGGGAGGGAAACATACACGCCTCTGCCTGACTATGAAGACAGCATAGTAAAGTGACTTGATAGAGAACTCCTGCTAGCTGTAGAAATCCCCCTGGCTTGGTGTCCTGCCTTCCCGTGACATGCTAGCAGAGGCTTGCTCAGGGAGGGCTGCCTGGTGTTCTACAAAGCACTGCTTAGGAAACAGCCCAGTGGCAATCGAGGGAGGCTGGCAACAGCCCCCTAGGAATGGACGGAGTCCCCAATGCCCACCCAGCATGAACATTTACAGTGAGCAGATTGATTTCTTTATAGAATTAAGAATTCTTGAAGGTGGTGAGGGTTCACTCGCTTGCTCTAGTTTTGACTTTAAATGGATTTCTTACAACACCTGGCACACCACCTGGCGTCCTTATCAAATAAAAGGCAAATTCCTGGGCCCGATCTGAAATGCTCTGAGTCAGCATAAGTGGGGAAAGGATGTGCATTTTCAACATCCCGAAGCAAGGCTGATGCAGCAGGATGAATGCCTGAGGCTCACTGCTTTAAAGAGAGAGTTCAGTGCACAGGGGTCCCTTTCACTTCAGTTGTACATGTTTCCACAGCATCCCGAAGAAAATCTCCTGTGTAAACATCCTTTTCAAGAACTCTGAAGCCCTGGTCATGAGCTTACTTTGTTCAGAGAAATGAACTGAGACAGGGCAGAGCGCGTGACAGGCGCTTCCTATCAACTGATCCATTCATTCACAAGATGCCAAGTACAGGGACCCGGATGCCTTCCGTGGGAGTTTCTCCCTGTCTGCAAAGCTGAAGGAGAAACTTACTGGAATAGTCCTTACCAGTGAAGAGGGCATGGTAGTGGAGGCCCTTCTCCTTGTCCTGGTGGGAGCAGACGTCAAACAAGTAGGCTTTGATAGGCCCATCAATGAAGTCAGCAGAAAAATCGAAGAGAACCACACCTATCATGGTGATAGTTACGGCCCACACCAGCTTCGTCCTTGGGTCTGCAACCAAAGCTAAAACAGAAGCAAACATTGGTCATCTAAAGCATCATTAGAACAACCCACATATTTTTATTTCGCTTAACCTGCCATCAAATCATCCATTTTCAGTTATGTAGTTTTGTTTTCACATCTTAAAAATGGCACTTTTTTCATGTTTAAGAAAGTATGCAACTGAATGCCCAGAAAATACAAATCTATAGGCAGAAAGTAAATTAGTGATTGCTAGTATCTGGTGCCTAGGAGAAAACAGGGAGTAACTTCCAGTGGGGAGTGGGTTTCTTTGGGGAGGGGCATAAAAATATCCTGTAAGTCCACAGTGGTGATGGTTGCTCCATCTTGTGACTATTCCAAAAAGCACTGGGTTATATACTTTATCTGAATACTCAGGGATTTTAATGGCATCTCTCTATATTAGAAATAATAACAATATGAAATAAGCTAAAGAAATTTCTTTAAATCCCAGCTTCAGCTATGGTGACTCTATAAGGCCCCCCTTTTAGTATGTGCAGACCCACAGTTGCACAGAGGTGCCCAAACACAGGGCTTCTCAAATTCTGGAGTGCCTGATTGCCATCTGAACTGCTTTGTCAAAACACAGATTGCTGGCCCCATTTCCCAAGACTCTGGATTGGCAGGTGTGAGGGAGCGAGTATGACCATTTGCAGCCCCTTGATACACAATTTTGAATGACCCAGGTAAATGAGATCATGGAGTATAAACATTTCTATCCTCAACCAATTCTCCCTAGTTCATTCAGTTTGTTAAGAAAGCCATTGTAGTACACTTAAGTGGGATCCATTCTATCCATATGCTCTACTCATCCACCCAATCTGCCAAGAGTGATATACTGTTGTGTCCCTTGCTTATGTTTTGTTAACCTAAAAATAGTGTGCAATATATAAACTTATTTGAAACATTCCAGGAGAAAAATCAATACCTATCTTAAATTTCCCAATTATATCTTACATTTCCATATTTATATATCCTTCTAAATCTAAACAGGTTGGTTCACAACCTGTGGGTCATGACCCCTTGGGGGGAATCACATATCATATATTCTGCATGTCAGACATTCACATTATGATTCATAACTGTAGCAAAATTACAGTTATTAAAATAGCAATGGAATAATTTTATGGTTGTGGTTTGAGCACAATGTGAGGAACTGTGCTTAAGGATCATAGCATTAGGAAAGTTGGAAACCACTGTTGTAAATATCTTCAAGTATCACCTGCTCATCTTACATCACAACCTCTCATTCTACTGGCATAAATGATCTAAAAATGTGTGCCTCTTTATGATCTCTTTTTCAGTGTACTGCCCCAAGTACTTAGGAATTAGTAGCTGGTTTGTCTCTAGAAATATTGCTCTGAGACCAAATTTGTTTCCCAGAATTCACAATACAAAGACATCTCCAGAGCTGACAGTCCTGTGCCCTGTAGCAATGTTATGCACCCAGAATTAACCCTTATTTGTACTCAGCAGGTGGTTTGTTACAGATGCTTATTTGACAACTTGACAAAGCAGTCCATGAGAGATGTAATATGCTCAAAAATCCTTCAGCTGGGAAAAAAGTAAGAATACTTAATTTGGTGAAATGAATGAAAATTCAATCCATTTAAAAACCTTGCAATTAAAAAAAAACAATGTTGTGATGTTTCTAGAAGCAAAAGCTCCTCAACCACAGGTTTGGGGGTCATTCAAAGGTGAAGGAAGCTTATGGCTACTGCATGCTAGGAGAAACCATTGATTGTAGCTGATAGGCATTAAAAAAAGTACTGATGACAATTTACCCTAACAGTTAACTATTAGGCCTGTGCACTCCACTTACCTGATACAACAGCATCTCCATTGAGGTACAGGGCCATCCCCAAGAGCATCATGATGCCCAGTGTCAGGATGTAGGGTCTCCGGCGGCCCCACCTGGCCCTGCAGTGATCGCTGACTGATCCCACCACAGGCTGCAGCAGGAATCCCAAGGTGGGGCTGAGGAGCCACACCATGCTGTACAAACTCTTGGGCAGGCCCAAGCTGAGTAGAACGGGAGTCACATAAGCTGCCTCCACTGCGTAGCAAAATTCCCGGCCAAACATGGCCATGCTGTGCATGACGAGTCTTCCCGTGGATCTCTTGGGCTGCTCCACAGGGCCAAAGGGGCCATCCTCCGATAGTGATTGATAGGTATGGGTGTCAGTCCGTCCATTGCTGCCACTCATGACCACAGAGAGAATAACTTTCCTGCGTGGTCCTCAGCTCTGTGCTCCAAACTGCATCTGACATGGAGCCTGTTTGAGCAGAGATGGGCAGGCTGGAGGAGGGGCTGGAATTCTTTCATGCCTCCAAGATCACAAGTTATGATGAGAAGCAAAGGGGGTGTTGGCCCTTGGAAGCATGACCGAGATTAACTGTTGTGAGACCTCTGGATCCTTGGAATGCTGGTTAAAGACCTCTCTCTCTCTCTCTCTCTCTCTCTCTCTCTCTCTCTCTCTCTCTCTCTCTGCAACACACACAATTGTACACAATGCTTCCATAGTTTTCAAATCATAAAGTCTCCTATACAGAGACTAAATAAAAATGTAAATAACCTAATAATTTCTATAAACTTTCTATAGATCTGGATATTCCCTTTTCCTGAACTCATATTTTCTACACACAGCTTAAAAGACAAATTAACTAGATCTAAAACAGCATGGCGAGGGGAGCTCTCACCCTTCACCCAAATTATTAACTGTCACATAATCCCTGGACTAGCTCATTTCGATCAGTACCTTTTCAAATGAGATAGTTTAGTGTTTGTTATAGCCTTTGTTATTTCCTTAATTATATCCTTTAAGTAGCCTTGGTCTTCAGGAGAGATCAGGTTGATTTATAGCATCCCCAGCATGTAGCCAGGCACCTCTTAGGTCCCCTAAAATATTTGCTAATACATACAGGTTGAATGAACGAAATACATAAAGTCTATGTTTGGTGCCAGTCACTGCCTACTTTGCCTACATCTTATGGGACTACATTTCCCAGGCTCCCTTGTTCTCTGGATTCTAGGTATATTTTGTCAACAGCAAGCAATAGTGAAAAGCCAGGAAGAAAGGGAAAACAAGTATGATCCAAGTATGTTTTCTTCATCCCAAGAGGTATTTTTGGCATTGATTGCATGTCCACTGTGAACCTACCTTCTATCAGGTACAATGGACTGCTGGGTTTGCTCAACTCCCCATAGCTAATCTGCAACCGTAGGAGAAACCCTGGCTCCTTGATTCTGCTCATATCTGGACAGCCTCACTATCTCTGCTCTTTATCGCCAATGTAATCCTCTAATTAAATGTACTCTTTTAAACACTTCAAGTGGGTCACATTTTCCTTACTGGACCCTAATAAAAAAACTTTGGTAGGAAAACTACCTTAGAAGAAACACCTTTAAAAAGGGTTCAATAACAAGGTATGGAGTCAGAATCTTAAAAGTTTAAATTCTTGGTTTATGTCTCTTCTATGCACTTCCCTAGGCAGATTCTAATTTGATGTTTCTCAGACTGTGTGTCAAGGCACCCAGATATTGCACAGAACTTACTGGTGTTATCTCAGAACATTTGAATTTTGAAATCAAGTCAACAGTGAAACCTGACATTTTGGCAGCAAAACTGAGGTAGTTCAAACTTTCAAGGTAAGATTGCACAATAATCCCTTTAGTTTCATTTCTGCGAAGCTGGGTTCCAAGTTGCCCGGTCACTGTGATTCCAGCAAGGGCCCTAACAGAAAGAATAAACAAGTTCTGAGCTTTCACTCAGGCACTTCCAAAATATTGAATTAAACATCACATGGGAGAGTGAAATTTGGACACATGACCTTTCTGACATTATAGTTCATATTCACTGTATAAAACCACCATAGGGTGGAGAAGGGCAGGCAGTTTGACAAAGAAGGTGGCATCTGAGTCGACATGAGTTTGCTAACCAAGTGGCAGGAACAAAAGGTGTATTGTCAATGCTGGAAAATGACATGGAACATGAAAGAAAAAGATACTATAACGTGTAGACATTTCAGGTCATCCATACAAAGGGTTGCAGAGCAGGAGCTGAAGATGGGATTGGTGATGTAGGTAGTTTTATTGCTATTGGTGATTACTGTTATTAAAATTATGTTTTGTCCCATAGGAGAAAAATGCACTATTGCAAAATTTTACAGGACTAAAAATGGTAGTCTTACAGAAGAAAAAAAAAAAGAAATAAAAGCAAAGTAGTGGTACTGAAAGTGGAGACAAATAGAGAAATAGTAGTCACCTATTGGAAGTTGTGTTGAGATGGGTGTTGGAGAGGGGAATAAGACGTAAATATGATCAAGACACATCATATGTGCAAATGAAAATTTCAAAAATAAATACCTGTTTTTAAACAAAAAGAGCATTTCAAAGGAGTTGGGAACTCATTAAGTGATCAGGGGTTAGGCCCCTATAAAAATGTTAACTCCAGCACTGGGCAGGGAAAACTGTGACTCTTTGACCCAAGGCCAAGGCGGACAAAACCATTAGCATCTTTAAGCTGTAATAGAGACATCTAAAGATGAGCTGCTCACTTTGCTCCTGGAGGCCATCCTAGCTGTCAGTCATGTCTCTCACTGATGTGCAGCTCAGCATTAGGATGTCTTCTTCGTACCGGTTATTCTCCATGCTGCCTGTGGAATACTTCCTGACTTACTTATTTGCTTAATTAAAGCTGCTTATCATTGTGATTTTCTCAGAGGATAAGCAGAAGGACTTCTGGGGCAGATGGAGACAGGATCAGTACAGAGGCAGACATTGGTGGGAGGAGCTTAGCAGACTTTTCATTGGATACAGGACAGTTAACTTGCCAGGTGATGGAGAACAGGCCACTAGGTGGCTCACACACAGCCCATCGTTTAGTACAGTGATCTGAAGCAGGGTTTCATGAAGAAAACTTCAAGACTGTTTGCTAACATCTGAGTTCAAAGACAAGGAGTGAATAAAAAGGGTTCGACTATTTTAAGGGGTATGCGATTTTGTTAACAGTAGTGCTCAAATATTTCAATGCATCAGAAAATACTATTTAAATGGCATTTAAGGGGCCTTCTAGAACACTTTTACAACTTAAAAACACTTTACTTCCAGGAAGGGAAAAAAAGCTTTATTTATTAAAATTATATTACTTCATTTAAAATATAGCATCGCTATATTTATATAAGGGCTTTAATATCAATGAATGCACGTTATCAAGTGAACCAAAAGGCAGAAAGACTGTGACAAGTTAATATCAGTACACACACAAAAATATTCCTCAATCAGAGGCTCTGAAAAGCGGATTCAGAATGCAATCATTACTCTGTAATCAGTCTTTAGTTGTGTCTTGATTGGAATGCTTGGATCACGTCATTACTGCTCATCCACATTTCCATGCATACCATCATGAGTGTCATTCTCCAGTGTAAATGCAGCCTTCGGCTTCCCTTGAGCCGTGAGAGTCAGAGGTTGGCTTTTGGTTTACTACTCTCAATGACTCTCTCTGAGCACAACTGATGGATCTCTTCTTGACTGAATCCAAATTCTTTAAGAACCTCTTCGGTGTGCTCCCCTGCAAAAGCATCCCTTTTCAGACAAGGGATGGCTGGGGTTCTAGACAGCTGAGGTGCAGGACGGGGGCTTGCATGCTGCTCCTCGTCAGTGATAAAGGAGGCCCGTTCCCTGTTGTGACTGTGGTGGAGGGCCTCCTCAATGGTCAGCACTGGGGTCACACATGCATCTGTCCCATCAAAGATCTGGCACCACTCCGCCTTCGTCTTCTTTGCAAACACATCTGCAAATTTCTTCTTCATTTCTGGCCAATCAGCTATGCTCATCTGGGTGGGGAGTTCATCAGACTTGAGTCCAAGTCCTGAGAGGGAAATGTGGTGTCTTTAGTTATTACACTTTGAGGGGAGTAACTATAATCAATGAAGAGTCACTATGACAACCTAAATCAGGCTTTCTCAAATGAGTGGCAAGAGAAAAATTAACCACTTTGAAGCTGGAGCCAATGAGTGCAAAAGGCAGGTACAGTAGAAGTGCCAGAAACTGATTTCTCTTCTGAGTTTGTTTTCAAAAAGAAATTTCTTCAGGATGGCATTATCTGTCTAGCTGAATTAAAATAACCTCATACTTTATATAATATTCTCAAACACTTTAAAAATAAAATTTTATATGTTATACCCGACTATCACCACTGTCAAGAACAGAGCCTCAGGGTAAGTGGTGAAGCTCACGGCTATAGCTTTATGAATAATATCCCTTTCTCTATACATTGACAAATTAAGAGCTCAAAGGTCTTTAAGGTAGCCAAGGTCTAGGTGAAGATTTTTAGGCCTTACATTGGTGTGGAAAATTGCCAAACAACTATTATTTCTCATTGTCAGTGTTCAATATATTATATGGAATATCCACAGCTTATTGTTTTTAAAAAGTTATGGGTTAGAGGATTTTCCCAACTGTAGTCTAATGTAATAGACAACACATTATTGTTGTTCAGAGCACATTAAGCTATGCTGTCAGGAGATGTATGAGATGCATTCTCAAAGAGTAGATGAAAATACTCATTTTAGTCGGGCGGTGGTAGCACGTGCCTTTGGTCCCAGCACTCGGGAGGCAAAGGCAAGCAGGACCAGCGTGGTCTACAAGAGCTAGTTCCAGGACAATCTCCAAAGCCACAGAGAAAC